GCCGGCAAGAACAGGCCACAACACGGCCCCAAACCGGAGCCGCACTTTTCGCTCTCAGCCAATCCGAGCGCTCCCAAAATCCCCCAAAACGGCGCGGCCCGGCTGGTTTTGGGGTGTCAGCAGCTGTCCGGCGCTGGGCATGGAGCGTGTGCGGGGAGCTGGGGCCGTGCTGGCGGTGCTGGTGGTGCTGGGAGCCCCCCCGGCTGCGGGCGAGGAGCTGTCGGGTGAGCGGGGGGGGGCGGGCAGGGGGAAAGGGGGGAGAAAAGAGGGGATGGGAGCCCCAAAAAAGTGAGTGCGAGGGGGGCCGGAAGGCCCGGAGTGAGTGGGAGGGGGGTGGGAGCCCCAAAGTGAGGGCGGGGGGGTCTGGGGATTGTGAGGCCGGTGGGAAAGGGGTAGGAGAGGGGGCAAAGGGGGTGTGGGAGAGCAGGCAGAGGGGTGCCCTGGGGGTCCCTGGGTGTCCCTTGAGGCCTGGAGCGGTTCCCTGGGGCTCTGGGGGGTGGGATCGGCAGTGGGGGGGTCTCCAACCCCCCTGTCCATCCCCGGGGGGCTGATGGGGGGGGTTCCCCCCCAGCCAAGAGCCGGTGCTGGGGCGTCCGTGGGGCAGAGGGGGGTGGGAAAGGGGGTTCCGGGGTGGCCCCATGAGCTGCCACCCTGCTGTGGGGGGCTGGGGGATGATGGGGGGGGGACGGGGCACCCCCTGACCCGTGTCCTGCACACACAGGGGTGTTCCAACTCTTGAGAAGGGAAGGGTGTCACTTCATCAATGGCACCGAGCGGGTGAGGTTCGTGGCGAGTCTCAGTTACAACCGGGAGCAGTTTGTGCACTTCGACAGCGATGTGGGGGTGTTTGTGGGGGACACTCCGTTTGGGGAGAAGGTTGCCAAGTACTTCAACAGCAACCCAGACCTTCTGGAGAACGCACGGTCTTTGGTGGACACAGCCTGCCCGCACAACTACAAGATCGTCACCCCGTTCACCGTGGAGAGGAGAGGTGAGCGTGGGGCAGAGCGGGTCCCCTCGGCCCCTGCCCCGGGAATGACCCTGGAGCCCCTCAAACCCTCCCTGGGAATCACCCCAGACCCCTCAGACCTCCCTGGGCCCATCCCGTGGCATTTTTACACTTCCCAGTCCATCCCAGTCCATCCCAGTTTCTTCCAGTCCTTCCAATGCCCCCTACTCTCTCCCAGTCCATTCCAGTTTTTCAGAGTCCATCCCAGTCCATCCCAGTCTCTCCCAGTGCCCCCCCGCGTCTCCACGCGTCGGTGCCCCCGAGCTCCCGCCCCTCAGCCAATGGCAGCGCGTGTCTCTGATGACGCTGCAGTTGCCAGGCAGACCCAAAGCAAACACTTCCCTCACCACCACTCAGCCTCCCAGGCCCGAGCGCTTCCTTCCCAGGCCACACCAGTCACTCCCAGTGCCATCCCAGTAATTCCCAGACCTTGTCAATCCACTCCCAGACCCTCTCCATCCATTCCCAGATCCTCTCACTCCATTCCCAGTCGTTCTCACTTCACTCCCACATCTCCCAACTCTCTCCCCAGTGCCCCCCCAGCCCAGACCCTTCTACCCCACTCTATTCCCAATCCCTCCCAGTGCCATCCCAATCCCTCCCACTGCCATCCCAGTCCCTCCCAGTGCCATCCCAATCCCTCCCAATGTCCTCCAAGCCCTCTCCCCTCCCTCCCAGTGCCCCCCAGC